AGTTTTGCTAATCAAATATTGATTAAAACTTAATTATTAAAGTTTATTTTACTATTTTTGCTGGTCAAATGACCACGATGTATGTGACCAGTACCTATGCAATGCACACAAATTAATCATTTAAATTCAAAGTATCTCTTTGTTTTTAATGAATTGATATTTCTCAATATTATAACATTTAATTAAATTAAATTTTTACATTTCCAGCATTTATTTCATAGTTTAATATGCAAAAACTTTTAAAAATTATACAATTTTTTTTAATTTATGGTATTCAAATTTGGAAAAAAGATTAATTATAATTGTAAGAATAAAATAAAACCGTGACAAACAAAGAATTTAATTAATTTTGCTAATAAAATATTGATTAAAAGTTATTTATTAAAGTTTTTTTTTTTATTTTATGCTGACCAATTGACCATACCTAAATGACTAGTACTTCTGCAACGCTTAAAAATTAATCAATTAAGCTCAAAAAATCTATTTGTTTCAAGGAATTGATATTTTTAAATATTTTCACATTTAATTAAAATAAATTTTTGACCTTTCTGGAATTTATTTTATAGTTTAATATACAAAACTCTAATAAATTATTGAAATTTCATAAAATTTGATGTTTAAATTTGAAATAAAAATTAATTTCAAAATTTTTTTTATATTGAACTATGAAATAAATCCCGGAATTGTTAAAATTTAATTTAATTAAATGTTTAAATATTAAAAACAATCGAATCATTAAAAAAAATGAATAATTTGAACTTAATTGATTAATTTTATGCGTTGCATACGTACCAGTCACTTACGGTGTGGTCAATCGACAACATAAATTAGAAAATAATCTTTAATAACTTAGTTTTGTTTTAATATTCGAGAAGTGAAATTAATAAAATTTTTAATTTTTAATAAAATTTTTAAAAAAATTAATAAAATTTTTAATTTTTTGTAATTTTTTTAATTAATAAAATTTTTAATTTGTCAGAATTGTTTTCGTGGTTTGTGTTCTTCTGAGAAAATTGAATTAATATTTTTTGAGAAAATTGAATTAATAATGAATTAATATTTTTTTAATAGTTTTAACATTTAATTAAAATCAAAATTGATAAAACGAGAAATTATTTTCCCGTTTAATATACAAAAACTCTTGCAAATTATAAAATTTTCACCAAAATTAATTTTTACATTTGAAATAATGCTTAAGCCTAAGCCTAAGTATACCCTAAGCCTAAGCCTAAGCATTATTTTATTATTTAAGATGTCAAATGACCACAATGTATGTGACCAGTTCCCGCACTATGCGTATATAATAATCAATTTTTTTTTTATTAAATGATATTTTTTAATAGTTTTAACATCTTTTGAAATTAAATTTTGATAATAGTAGAACTTCTTACCTAGTTTTGTATGCAAATACCCGTATAAATTATGGGATTTTGTAAATGTATTATTTAAATTTGAAATAAAAATTAATTTCAATTGTAAGAATGAATTAGAACAGTGGCAAATTAAAAATTTAATTAATTTTGCTTCTAAAATACCATTCAGAACTCAATTTCTAAACTTGATTTTATTATTTTGCTGGTCAAATGACCACAATGTATGCGACCGGTACCTGTGCAATGCATACAAATTAATCAATTAAGTTCAAAATAACCATTTTTTTAATGAATTGATATTTTTCAATAATTTAACATTTATTTAAAATGATTTTTTGATATTGCTAGAATTTATTTTGTAGTTTAATATACAAAACCCTGAATTTTCATAAAATTTGATATTTAAATTTGAAATAAAAATTAATTTCAATTGTAAGAATGAATTAGAACAGTGGCAAATTAAAAATTTAATTAATTTCGCTTCTAAAATATTATTCAGAACTCAAAATATTGAAAAGAATCGAATCATTAAAAATTATATAACTTGAACTTAATTTATTAATTTATAAGCGTTACATAAGTACTGGTCACACACACCGTGGTCATTTGACCAGCAAAAATAATAAAATAAACTTTAGAAATTAAGTTTTAACCAATATTTTGTTAGCAAAATTAATTAAATTTTTAATTTGCCACTGTTCTAATTCACTCTCACAATTATAATTAATTTTCATTTCAAATTTAAAATTTAAATTTTATGAAGATTCATTAATTAACTAGAATTTTGCATGTTAATCTACAAAATAAATTCCAGCAATATCAAAAACTAATTTTAATTAAATGTTAAATTATTGAAAACTATCAATTCTATAAAAAAAATGGATATTTTGAACTTAATTGATTAATTTATAAGCGTTCCATAGTACTTGTCACTTACGGTGTGGTCATTTGACCAGCAAAAATAATAAAATCAAGTTTAGAAATTAAGTTCTGAATGATATTTTAAAAGCAAAATTAATTAAATTTTTAATTTGCCACTGTTCTAATTCATTCTTACAATTAAAATTAATTTTTATTTCAAATTTAAATAATACATTTACAAAAATCCCATAATTTATACGGGTATTTGCATATAAAACTAGGTAAGAAGTTCTACTATTATCAAAATTTAATTTCAAAGGATGTTAAAACTATTAAAAAATATCATTTAATAAAAAAAAAATTGATTATTATATACGCATAGTGCGGGAACTGGTCACATACATTGTGGTCATTTGACATCTTAAATAATAAAACAATGCTTAGGCTTAGGCTTAGGGTATATTTAGACTTAGGCTTAAGCATTATTTCAAATCTAAAAATTGATTTTGGTGAAAATTTTATAATTTGCAAGAGCTTTTGTATATTAAAAGGGGAAATAATTTCTAGTTTTATCAATTTTGATTTTAATTAAATGTTAAAACTATTAAAAAATATCAATTCATTAAAAAAAATTAGTTAATTTGAACTCAATTGATTAATTTTATGCGTTGCATACGTACCGGTCACCTACGGTGTGGTCAATCGACAACATAAATAAGAAAATAAACTTTAATAACTAAGTCTTTTTTAATATTCGAGAAGTGATATTAATAAGATTTTTAATTTATCGTAGATTTAATTCATTTCTGCAGCTAAAATTAGTTTTTGTTTGAAATTTTAAGATCGAATTTTATGAAAATTTTATGATTTGCAGTGAATCAAAACCTTTTTTGTATATTAGACTACGAAATAATTTCTAGTAATATCAAATTTTACTTTAATTAAATGTTAAAACTGTTAAAAAACATACATTCATTAAAAAAAGTTAGATATTTTGAACTTAATTGATTAATTTGTGTGCATTGCATAGGTACTGGTCGCATACATTGTGGTCATTTGACCAGCATAAATATTAAAATAAACTTTAATAACTAAGTTTTAATCAATATTTGATAAGCAAAACTATTTATTTGACGACAATAATTCATTCTCAAAATAATAATTAATTTTTATCTCAAATTTAAAATTTAAATTTTATTAAAATTCACTAATTTATCAGAATTTTGCATATTAATCTACAAAATAAATTGTACTAAATATCAAAAACTAGTTTTAAATAAACGTTAAAATATTGAAAAATATCAATTCATTTAAAAAAAAATGGATATTTTGAACTTAATTGATCAATTTGTGTGCATTGCATGGGTACTGGTCATTTATGGTGTGGTCAATTGGCACCATAAATAATAAAATAAACTTTAATAAATAAGTTTCAATCGATATTTAGCAAAATTAATTAAATTCTTTATTTGTCATGGTTTTATTTCATTCTTACAATTATAATTAATTTTTTTTTGCAAATCTAAATATCATAATTTATGAAAATTGTATAATTTTTGAAAGTTTTTGTACATTAAACTATGAAATAAATGCCGGAATTGTCAAAATTTAATTTAATTAAATGTTAAGAAATATCAAATCATTAAAAAAATTAGATAAATTGAACTCGATTGATAAATTTATAAGCGTTGCATAGGTACTGGTCAATCACGGTGTGGTCAATTGGTCAGCATAGAATGTTAAAAAGACATTAATAAATAATTTTTAATCAATATTTTATTAGCAAAATTAATGAAATTCTTTGTTTGTCACGGTTTTATTTCATTCTTACAATTGTAATTAATTTTTTTTCCAAATTTAAATATAAAATTTATGAAAATTGTATAATTTTTGAAAGTTTTTGTACATTAAACTATGAAATAAATGCCGGAATTGTCAAAATTTAATTTAATTAAATGTTATAATATTGAGAAATATCAATTCATTAAAAAAAAGAGATATTTTGAACTTAATTGATTAAATTGTGTGCATTGCATAGGTACTGGACACATATGTCGTGGTCATTTGATCAGTACAAATAATTAAATAAACTTTATTAATTAAATTCTGAACGATATTTCAGTAGCAAAAATAATTAAATTCTTTATTTGTCACTGTTCTAGTTCATTCTAACAATTGAAATTGATTTTTGTTTCAAATTTAAGTGCCAAAATTTAAGAAAAATGCATAATTTTTAAAAGCTTTTGTATATTAAACTATGAAATAAATCCCGGATTTGTCAAAATTTAATTTAATTAAATGTTAAAAAATTTAAAAAAATCAATTCATAAGAAAATTAGATATTTTGAGCTTAATTGATTAATTTATAAGAGTTGCATGGGTGCTGGTCATTTATGGTGTGGTCAATTGGCAACATAAATAATATAATAAACTTTAATAATTATGTTTCAATCGATATTTGACCAGCAAAATTAATTAAATTTTTATAAATCAATTTTTATCAAAAAATCTTCATGAGTACTTTTTAGTGTCGAATGTTGACCTTTATGTTCATGCTACGTACTGCTCCTCATTTTTATCATTTCCTTAGCCTGAACTGGTGCGTTGCGCTTTTTCGCTTGATGAATAAGTAAATAATGATTTTATTCTATTCCTACTGTTTCTTAATATGTGCTAATACAACTATATATGTGATGTAGTCTTGTTATGTTCTTCACTCCAGTTGTAAGTTAAATTGGCAAGTTAACACAATTGCATTTTTCCTTTTTACATAGTTTGCATTTTTCGACATCGATAAAGTTTAAGTCGCACGGAAAAAGCGTCTGATGAATTATCGTAGCTAATGTTTTCAATAAGGCACAGCTGATGTTGTCTGAATGTTTGCGAACAATTTCTAGTCTGAAGCAACACTTATATTTCGACTTTTGAAATGAAGAAATTAATCTCAAAAATGCTGTGAGAAGAAAATGAAAGAAAATATCATGCACTGTGATATCTTTCTAAATAATAAAATGAAAATACTAGAAGGAATAAAGAATAACAGAGTTATGGGAAATATCTTGTTACAATGGAAAATTCTGAGAATGTTTACATCCATCAAAGAATAACGGATACAAAGAAAGGCTCCAGGTGCAGTTCTCACCTAAATGAAGGAAGAAATTTGGATGCAATGGAAAACTCACCGAGAAATCGTATTTAATCTGTGTCACTGCTTTCTTTTTACAGAATATAGATTCAAGTATTTTCAGTTCTTTACTTGATTTCTTACAAATTTTTCTACATACTCCATGCTCATCTAGCATGGCTGTTCGATGATATGGATCGATTCTAATCCAGCATCTGCCTTTGATAGTGCCATCCATTTTGTAGCTTGAAGTTAAATTCTTTTACTGCAATAAATCTATCATACAAATTAAGGCTCATGAAATATTTATCAAGAACTTTGTACGTATTTGTACATATTTGCAGATTTCAATAAAAATATACTTGGTTAAAATAATGCCAATTTTGCTTTTATCTAGTCTTGGGTAAATGTCAAAAAGTAACTGATCGCTCATGGAAGCAATCGATAAAGTTCGATAAATGAAAACAGCCAGCACCCAATCCATTTGAACTGACACTGCATTACTTCGAAAGCAGACGGCACTTTTATTCGCATACTTTATGTTATTTTATGTTAAACAGTTAAGTTCGACAAAGATTTCACTGTAAATGTTTAGGGAAATTTACATACAAAGAGAAAAGTTGAAAGGATATAAAGCGACCTGTAGAATAAGCGAGTAATATAATATTATGAACCTTCGTGATCACAATGGTGAGATAACACAACAGAACAATTCATCTGACGAGATAATAGATTTATCATTCAAAATAATGAGCGGCCTGATTGCAACACCAGCCTTTCAAAAGTTTATTCAACTGTTTTTTATTACTATTTGTTTTCAAAAATGATGGTTTTGAAACTTCAGTTTCATCTCAAAATTTTTTAAAAAATCACCTTATGTGTTCCTGCATTTCCGATTTTTGACGTTGTATCCACCGCAGATAGAGAGGCTACTTAAACCGTTTCTTCCTTTTAAATTTAATAACTCATTTCACTTTAAGAATGTTTACTTTAAGAATAATAACTCATTTGATTTTAAGAATGTTTACCATCATGAAAATGTCAGCCCATATATAAAATACGGTAAGAAAAAAATGAAAAAGGAGAAAATATTAGTTATTATATCTCTAAAACTTTCAATATGGTAAAAAGGAGTATAAACGAGGTTTTAAAAGATAATATACGAACCAAGCAAATACAGCAATGTAAAATACCTGCACTATTTGAAACTATTTGAAACGGTAGACTTTCAGTATTTAACACAATCATTATCACTATTCCCATTGTCTAAAAGTAATAATAATACAATATTTAGGACTTTTTAATTGCACTATCAAAAAGTGAGTAATTGTGGAAAAAATCCTTATCGTGCGAGCTATTATTGAGAATCTACTTGCAATTTATAACTAATTGAGAGAGGTTTTTGATCGCAAAGAGATTTGCTGGATGTAGATGTAAATACGTAAAATAACAGAAATATAACATTTCCTTTATTAGCACAAGTAATAGGACAATACATTGAAAGAGGACAATTGAAATTGAACTCGTCTGGTTCTTGGCAACAAATTACACACACTAAAATTTTTTAACAAGGGCAACCCTTATACATTGTAGCAATCATATCTTACATTATATTTGTTAAGATGTGGGAGTGGTTTATAATTAGACATTTTCGTACAAAGGATAAATTGTCTAGACATAGTAATGAGTTACTTTAACAATAGGTTTTACAATGGATATCACAAAGGTAAGTACAATGGGTTGTCTAGACAATATGATGTGTAGCTACTATAATTACAATAGACATTACAAGATAGATGCTCATAGTATGTGAATTAATATAAAATCAAAGGTCAGTTAAACCATTACGATAAATTGTAAAAGACATCAATGGATTGCTATATTAAGCATTATTAACATTTATTTAGTGCTTCTCGATATATCGATATTAAAATCCGTGACAATTATTTATTATCTATTTATTATTTTTATTGTTGTCGCTGTTACTTGTTAATGTAGTGTAAAAAAAGTAGAAATGGCATTAATTCAGTAACAGAAATTTATAACTTCCCATCTACATTTTCAAGTACCAATTAAACTTCATTTAGTCGCGAACTTCCATTTCAAGTACCAATTTATATCTCAAAACAATCTCGCGAACTTTTAAATAACTTAACTTACAAAATAACTTTTTAAATAACTTACAAAATATATTAAATAAAATTATATTAATTCATAATATAAGGCTAAAATTCCTATGCGATGCACACAAATTAATCAATTAAGCTCAAAATATCCATTTTTTTTTAAATGAATTGATATTTTTCAATATTTTAACATTTAATTAAAATTAGGTTTTTATATTGCAGTAATTTATTTTGTAGATTAATGCGCAAAATTATAGTAAATTAATGAATTTTCATAAATTTTAAATTTTAAATTTGAGATAAAAATTAATTATTATTTTGGGAGTGAATTATAACCGTCAAAAAATAAAAATTTAAATAGTTTTGCTTATCAAATATTGATTAAAATTTAATTATTGAAGTTTATTTTACTATTTTTGCTGGTCAAATGACCACGATGTATGTGACCAGTACCTATGCAATGCACACAAATTAATTAATTAAGTTCAAAATATCCATTTTTTTTTTAAATGAATTGATTTTTTTCAATACTTTAACATTTAATTAAAACTAGTTTTTGATATTTACTACAATTTATTTTGTAAATTAATACACAAAATTCTGATAAATTAATGAATTTTAATAAAATTTAATTTTTAAATTTGAGATAAAAATTAATTATAATTTCGGGAATGAATTATAACCGTCAAAAATTAATAATTAAAATAGTTTTGCTAATCAAATATTGATTAAAACTTAATTATTAAAGTTTATTTTACTATTTTTGCTGGTCAAATGACCACGATGTATGTGACCAGTACCTATGCAATGCACACAAATTAATCAATCAAGTTCAAAGTATCTCTTTGTCTTTAATGAATTGATGTTTCTCAATATTATAACATTTAATTAAATTAAATTTTGACAATTCCGGCATTTATTTCATAGTTTAATATACAAAAACTTTCAAAAATTATACAATTTTCATAAATTATGGTATTTTAATTTGGAAAAAAAAATTAATTATAATTGTAAGAATGAAATAAAACCATGACAAATAAAGAATTTAATTAATTTTGCTGATCATATATCGATTGAAACTTAATTATTAAAGTTTATTTTATTATTTATGTTGCCAATTGACCGCATCATAAATGACCAGTACCCATGCAATGCATATAAATTAATCAATTAAGCTCAAAATATTTAACCTTTTTAATGAATATATATTTTTTTAACAGTTTTAACATTTAATTAAAGTAAAATTTGATATTACTAGAAATTATAGAAAGAAGTCTAGTGTACAAAAAAAGGTTTAGATTCATTGCAAATCATAAAACTTTCATAAAATTCTATCTTAAGATTTCAAACAAAAATTAATTTTGGCTGCAGAAATGAATTAAATCTACGACAAATTAAAAATCTTATTAATTTTGCTTCTCAAATATTAAAAAAGGCTTAGTTATTGAACTTTATTTTCTAATTTATGCTGTCAATTGACCACACCGTAACTGACCGTTACCCATGCAATGCATAAAATTAATCAATTGAGTTCAAAATAACCAAATTTTTTTAATGAATTAATATTTTTTTAATAGTTTTAACATTTAATTAAAATCAAAATTGATAAAACGAGAAATTATTTTCCCGTTTAATATACAAAAACTCTTGCAAATCATTAAATTTTCACCAAAATTAATTTTTAGATTTGAAATAATGCTTAAGCCTAAGCCTAAGTATACCCTAAGCCTAAGCCTAAGTATACTCTAAGCCTAAGCCTAGGCATTATTTTATTATTTAAGATGTCAAATGACCACAATGTATGTGACCAGTTCCCGCACTATGCTTATATAATAATCAATTTTTTTTTATTAAATGATATTTTTTAATACTTTTAACATCCTTCGAAATTAAATATTGATAATAGTAGTACTTCTTACCTAGTTTAGTGTGCAAATACCCGTACAAATTATGGGATTTTTATAAATGTATTATTTAAATTTGAAATATAAATTAATTTTAACTGTAAGAATGAATTAAAATCGTGAAAAATTAAAAATTTAATTAATTTTGCTAATAAAATACTGATTAAAACTTAGTTTCTAAATTTATTTTATTATTTTTGCTGGTCAAATGACCACGGTGTGTGTGTGTGACCAGTACCTTGCAACGCCTAAAATTCAATCAATTAAGTACAAAATATCTATTTTTTTTAACGATATGATATTTTTTAATATTTTAACATTTAATTAAGATTAAATTTGATAATAGCAGGGTTTTTTTTTCCCAGTTTATTACGCAAAAATTCTTACAAATTATAGGATTTTCATAAAAATCAATTTTAAATTTGAGTTAAAAATTTGCATTAATTGTAAAAATGAATTAGATAAATGGCTAATTAAAAATTTTTGTTATTTTCACAACTGAAATTTTAATCAAAACTTAATTATTAAAGTTTATTTAATTATTTATGCTGATCAAATAACCACGATGTATGTGACCAGTACCTATGCAGTGCACACAATTTAATCAATTAAGTTCAAAATATCTATTTTTTTTTTTAGGAATTCATATTTATGAGTATTTTATGAGTATATTAAAATATGCTTTTATAATTAAGTTTTGCGCAAAAATTCATCAGCAAAACTAATAAGACTTTCAATTAATAATGGTTTCAATTCAATTTAAGAATTAAAATTTAATTTAATTTCAAATTTAAATTTTGAATTTTTTAAAAATCTTAAAATTTGTGATAGTTTTCTTACATTTAACATGAAAATTGGTTCTAAATTATCAATTTTAATTTTAATTAAGTGTCAAAACTGCTAAAAATAACAATATTTTGAAGATAATTCATTATGTTTTATGCATTGCACTGGGGCGGGTCATATATGGTTGGTCATTTTATAGTTTAAATATTAAAATATGCTTTTATAATTAAGTTTTGCGCGAAAATTCATCAGCAAAATTAATAAAACTTTCAATTAATAATGGTTTTAATTCAATTTAAGAATTAAAATTAAATTTAATTTCAAATTTAAATTTTGAATTTTTTAAAAACCTTAAAAATTGTGATAGTTTTCTTGCATTTAACATGAAAATTGGTTCTAAATTATCAATTTTAATTTTAATTAAGCGTCAAAACTGCTAAAAATAGCAATATTTTGAAGTTAATTCATTATGTTTTATGCATTGCACTGGGGCGGGTCATATATGGTTGGTCATTTTATAGTTTAAATATTAAAATATGCTTTTATAATTAAGTTTTGCGCAAAAATTCATCAGCAAAATTAATAAAACTTTCAATTAATAATGGTTTTAATTCAATTTAAGAATTAAAATTAAATTTAATTTCAAATTTAAGTTTTGAATTTTTTAA